TAAATATATGGTTGTCATTGATTGTGGCCACAACTCTATATCCAATAGCAAATTCCATAGTCATTCGGTCTCTTTGCCAGTTGCCAATAGTGATGTAAACTACGATTCCATCGTTGAACGAGCTATACATGTTTGCTTATTTGATGCCCAAGAGACTGCACCATTTGCAAGCTTGAAAATCCATTTAGATGTCAACCTGTTATCAGTTATACTAGTTATCCAACTAGCATGCGAATATAACATGACGGTTAGAGTGAAAAAGGACAAGAGCAACACAAAGGAAAGCCTCAAAAACGAATATGCTTGTCAACTATTATCATAACAAACCTACCAAAACAAAAAATAAAATGTGTCAACTACATGGAGTCACATTGGAATGCAGCTCGGATTCTCTTGCATGGTTTGATCCCACATATATAGGACCAAAAAACCTAATTAAGTTTAATTTAAAAAATCTTAAGATAATTAAATAAATCAACTATCAAGTGATGCAATAGCTACTCTTCTTGAGCACCTCAAGTGTTATCCAAACTTAAAACAAGTTGAGAAAAAAATTTATTGGTCTCTTAGAAGTTAGAGGGAAAATTGTTCAAAAAATTCTAAATCTATTGTACGGCGGTTAATTCAGTCCTAAACCTTTTAAATGTGTCAATTTAGTCATAAAATATTTTAACAATTTGACATTATAGTCCTTCTAGCCAATTTTGGCCAAAATTCACTAACATAGACGCCGGCCGACTTATGTGGCATGGCCGGCACCGACATAGACAATTTTTAATAAATTTTATGAATTTTTTCTTCTTTTAGAATTTTTACTTTTTTCTATTATTTCTTTTCTTTTTTTCTTTTATTTTCTTTCTTTCTTTTTTTTATGGTCACCGACATTGGGTGAAGGCTTCGAGATGTTCACTAAGGCTAGCAAGGGCTCACACCCCCTCATCTGGGGTTGGCAAGGGTGTCTTGGCCGTCACCTATGGTCGGCGACCTCCACCAGCCACTACCGGGGCCACAAATCGACAGAGGGAATTGAGCATAAAAGAAAAAGGAAAAAAGAAAAAAAAATTAAAAATTGCAAAAATTGTCCACCTTGGTGCCGGTCATGCCACATAAGAGAGTCAACATTTATGTCAGCGATTTTTTGCTAAAATTGGCCAAAAGGACTACATTAGCAAATTGTCCAAAAGTTTAGGACTAAATTGGGTAAATCGAAAGGTTTATAACTTAATTGGCATATGTATGATAGGTTTAAGACTTTTTTTATAATTATCCTGAAGTTAGAGCTTAATATTTAAATTCAGATTAGTTCATTTCTCTTAGTTTTTCATTTCATACTCATCAAACTCAACGAGAATTATTCACTTCTATTGACACCCAAAAATGACCAAATCTTTTTAATCGACATGATGTCGATATGAGTCTCAGTGTTATGATTATATTATCGATTAGTTATCGATAGCAGAGATGCTAGTCGACGACCATGTTTACGGATGACCATGATATAACTATCGACAAATAATGACGATTGGTCGACGATTGATACTTAACAAATGTAGAATAAGTGTAGAATAAATATACTAATGACAAAGTGAAGATGCCAAGGTGAAGATACCAATTGACGATTGGCAACTAAAGAATTGTAATCGCTTATAGATAAGGTTAACATGTGATCATGAAACCTAAAGTTATGGAGATACGGTTGTACCATTACTTTGAATATTAACTGTTTCTAAGTGGTTACACTTTGTAGTTGGCTATATAAAGCCGTGTTGAATTGTTGTAAGGAATACCATCATCAACACAAACACTTATGTATTTTTCTCACCATATCAATTTATCCGTTTCTTGTACTTGCATTTACCTTTCTATAGATTTAGTCGTTCATGTTATGCAATTTGCTTCTTGTCCAAATCACTAAAGAACCTAAGACCAACAAAACGACTTCATAAATGAGTTTTTCCAATAATAGTGTCACACCTCCAACTCTACAAGAACAGGAACAATGATACAACCATCTTTCCACCCGAAGGACACAATCTCAAACATAATCACCATTACTTACTATCGAAGTATATACGGAGAAGGGCCCACTAGCCTTTAGTAATAAAACTATGTTTGTGTGCTAAAACTATGCCAAACTAATTCTCTTTCTCCTTCTCTTCATAACTTTTGTTTGGTATTCGATATCTTAAATAGTAAGATAGCATCTTATCATAGTAGTATGCTCTGCATTGCCTCCATAGATCTTGTGAGAACTCTGAGGCTAGAAGGCCTTATTCTCAGATGATTTAGCTGAATGCTAAAAGTTAGTTTCCATAGGGTAAGGCCTGAGAGAGGCACTGCAAGGGGACTGAATACCTACATTTGTTAATATTTTTATTATAGTCATAGATCACCTTTAGTCATATGGTTACAGAATCATAGTTTCTATAATCCATCATAAAGATATATACATCTCTATCTAATAACCAAACTTAGAAGTTCATCTCAAACATAAACGACTCATACCCAAAAATCCAACTATTAAAATATCTTGCTGATAACGTAAACGCTCTTGTACTACTTGTGGTAAGCCGAAGAACTTGAAAAACAAGTAAGATGAATGGAACGAGCAACCATAGCTGAATGAGTAGCATATCTCTTCTAAGCAAACTAAACATTCATTATGCATCTTAATAAAATGATAATATAACTCATCAATTACAAATCCGATATATGATACATGTAAAATATCAAAAGTGCATCATAACTTTTGATAAAACTTTTTACGTATCAAATCAATCAATAATAACAAATCAATCATCAATGATTAATTCCATTGATCAATTTCTATAAAAAAAAAAAAGGGGGGAGGAGGAGGGAAGGGGGGATAATGGTCTATTCTATCAACTAATTTAGTACTCGATATCTAACTATGGTCACATTTAACAATCATGACAAAAGTCACCAAGTTCCCCTATCTACGTCTCAGCCTAAATCGGCCAATGGTTCAGCCCAAAAGGACATCCCGATAACAATATACAATACTTACCCCTCGATAAGTTATAATCATAGCGATATAAGCATAATGTACTAACATCATTCTCTAATAACCCATAAATCAAATCCATAATCCATCTCAAAACTTAGGATCACTAACCAAATCATATATCATTTCACGATTCATTCATCAAACATAATACCTTTCATTCACCATATATATTAATAGGGAACGTTTCGTAGTTCTTTAATTAAAGGTTTCACAAACCATACACGAGCAATTAATTAATTAAGCACCATTTTTTCTTATCATTAGATATTTTTATCAGGGCTATATCCTCTTCTACCCGATTTTATCCTATCTTGGGTTGGAACCACATACGAGATATGATAAATTTTATCATATCCTGACTTTTATCCTAACTAGCCCTATATGACTAAATCCACACAGTATTCACCAATGAGACAAAACCGTCCTCCATCATTTAATTGCACTTTAAAGTGGTGGTCCCAAATTAATTTACTTTCCTTATTTTTATAGTTTTTCTATATATATAATTTACTTACCATAATTAAGTATTTTCACGTGTTTAGCCATGTATATTAAAGGCAATATATTTTCCTTTTATCGTTAGATATTACTTCCATAAAAGTTCATTTTGTCAAAAAGTGAAATTTCAAAGAAACCTAGTTCTTTTCTACTTCTTCAAGTAAATTTATGGATAAATTATTAAGTAAAATATAAAACAAATTTAAAATAGACAACTTTTTAACACGTTGACATGTTTATATATTTTCACTTTTGTTGTATATATCACCATCAAACCCCCTCTTATCGATTTTCTTTTATATACTTATACAAATAATCGGATGAGAAGCAAAAAAAAAAATGAGACACTCTTTGAAGATTTTCCAAAATAAAATCACAATACATTCTCCAACGTGAAACTTTAGAAGATAAAATATAATTAAATCAAAACATGGCATAAAATAAGATTTTTTTTTAAATGCCAGTGTAATATCATTATTTGGATTGACAAAAATTAACATCATCCATGGACTCTTTATGAAAAAATAGCAATATGCCTTACTGTACGTAATGGTATTAGTGTATTCCTAGATATTCCTCTAAGGCTGCGTTTGGTTGTCCGGATTTCTAAACAGGATAGGATAAGAAATCCTAGGATTTCTTCATATCCTATCCACTGTTTGGTGGACTACGGATTTAAAGTCGGATAGGATAATTTTTTTTTTTTGCTATTCACGGGTCCGGAGGAGTCAGTGAAGGAAAAAAAGTCGAGAAATTTTTTTGGTGAAAGTGCACAAGGTGTGGGGATGAAGATGACGGTGAATGGAGCGTAGGGTTTCTGGAAAAAAAGGCATTATAAATCATATCCAAGTCTATCCCACCCCCCTCGGATTTTTTTATCCGGGCTATATCCGGTCTATATCCGACCTTATCCTATTCTGGACCACCACCAAACACAGGATAGGATAAAACATATCCTATCCTGGCTTTTATCCGGTCGACCAAACGCAGTCTAACATCTTACGTGCTTGGTGTAAAAGCATTTCACCAATATAGTATGGATAAAAAATAAATTCGTTAACATAGTAAATAAAGAGAGCTTATATGTATATTAAAAAAGAATTCACTAAGAAAGTGAGCATTTTGAGATAAGATGGACAAAGGATAGACGCGTGCCGAACAAGACACTTTTCAATTTTTAACTATATTTCTTCCATTTTTTTTAACTATATAGAATATGTCCTTTTTTCCTTATCATTGGCAATATAATTTTACATGAAATATCTAAAGCGCTACAGTAATATCTAAGAATGCATTTTTTTCTTTAATATACTAAAAAAACAAAACACATAAAATGCTTAATTATAGTAATTAAGATCCTAAAGATTAAGAGCAATTTTATTCTTTTTTAGTGTAAATTTTTTTTTTGTGGAAATAGCACCAAAACACATGCAATAACTCCAAACCACACTTCTAGCAAAAAAAAAAACTCCAAACGACCCGGATCCCAATCTCTTTCCTCCACAGCCACTCAAGCCTTGCAACCGCCCCAAACTGTGGAAAGCCACCATCGCCGCCGCCGCCGCCGCCGGTGGTTTGCAAACTCTGGCCAGGTCCGTACTCTCTACCTCCCTCTCTCTCCCCGCGCGTCGTACTAGTATTTTACCCTCGTTCAAGCTTTTCCCCAGCCCACGAACATGGGAATTTAGGGCAAAGTTTGTCCTGAAAAGTCGGAAATCGAAAGCCGCCGGAGGAAATTTGAGGGAGGAGGACGGAAGGAAGGAAGGACCTCGCTGCTCTGAGGAGCTCGGCCAAGGTGCCGCCGTCGTCGCCGTCGCCGTCGCGGCCGCGTCGCCTTCTCCGACGAGTGCGGCGTCACCGATCGAGTTGCTTCCCTTCGCGTCCCATCTCCTTTCCTTGAAATCGCTTTGGCCGTCTCCTTAGCCTCTGTTCAAGTTCATCCCCTCACGTCTCCTTACGTCACTCGCCCTTTCTTCGAGTTTTTCCCCGAAGAGGGCGTGGAGTATGTGCCCCGTAAAAGTGAAGGATCTACATTGATGGGTCATTTGTGGAACTTAGAAATGTTGTGTTCCCATGCTTGTCTAAGTCTTAGGGATCTTGATGGATCCATCTAGACATTTCTACTTGTGTTTTGGTGGTTTTTAATCTTGATGAGAACGGATGTTTGCTTGATTACCGATATGGAACTCATTGGCATGTCTTATTGATATCATTTTATCGTCAAATAGAATATGTGGGGTGGGCTATTGAACTATGTATGCGTTTCTTAGGAGTGTTATGCATGCAATTGCGTAAAACGAAGTCTCCACATAACAATTAAGCTTCAATTTGTGAAATTTGTAGGATCTTACTGTCCTCAATCCGATCATCTACTTAGGATCCCGATCCTGACAGCCTTGCGCTTGAGTTTGTGCATAAGAGCAAACCATCTAGTATTTTGGACATCCATTTTGTTGGCGTTAATCTTAATCTTTGGCTTGTACTCTAGTTTATCAGGTGCCATGGAGATCGACAAAGCAATAAGGGAATGTGATGATAGGAGGCTCAAGACTAAGTATGCTAACGCCATTTATGTCATTCAGAGAGCTTTAGCCCTCTACTCGTACGTTCTTTCTTGTCCTCCCTTCTGCGGTTTTTAACGGTTTTACATATGCAATTTCTATTTGGAACATTGGTCTTGCTTTTTTTATTCGTGGGTTAGGTTTTTAATTGCTTATGAATATGTGAAGATGACAGGAAGAATAAGAGTTTGATTCTTGATTCTGATTTTCACTACAAATCTGAACTTATATGATCCAAGGCAAACAATTGGAATTCCATTCAGTTTGATTTACAATTTGTCAGCAATTAAAGTTCTCAGTAACTCTCAGTCAGAATATGTTTGCTGAGTATGGACTCCGTGTCCATGAATTTGTTTATAATGCTAAGCTGACAACTTTATGTTCTTATTCCACTTGGTTTTTTGTTGTTTCCTTCGTTAGAGCCCATTGTTCTATTGTGATTGTGATTCCTGATGGGTATGTAGATGTATGATGTATGTTCTCAGTACTTTACCATTATCTCTTTGAATGCTGGTGCATATGTTGTCCTTGATACTTGCTTCAATTGTCCTTAGTCTTTAATGGTTTTTGCTGATATTATATCTTTTTGTGTTCTTTCTTGGATTTGAAAAATGTGCTTTAACTTTAAAAGAAAGTTGATGCTAGAAATCTCTTCATTCCCCTGATCTTTCCTCGTTAAGTTAAATATGAACTATTTTAGCATACTTAAAAGAATCTGTTCAGCGATCTCTTAGTTGTAGTTTCCCACACCATCACCGTGCTGTGCTTGATGTACTGGGTTTCGTGAATGTTATGGTTTTAAGTGGTCGGTTTCTCATAATTCTATCCAACCTTAATGATATTATTATGTGTTTAGACTTACCCTCATAGTTTTTGTTTATCTTCACTACCCTTGACGCGTCTGATGATCTTGGTTTGGATGTTATGGTTATTGTGGTGAATTTCTCATATTTCTGAGGACTAGGAATTGGAATCTAAATCATTGTCAAGTTTTGATCTTGCAAAAGATTGTTTATTCTTCCTCTCCTACCGGAATTGGGCCAAAAAATTGTTTAGACTCACTACGTGTAAAAGCTATACTAATGTGATGCTTTGTGAGAGTGCCGTATGAAATTGTCTGGTAGATGAGCTTTCATGTAGCAAGTATTAAAATATTTTAGTCAATGCTCATCATGAAGTACAAGTTTGCAGGACTTATCATATCTTAATATCTGCAAGAGGTCTGAATGCCTTATACCTTGCAAAGCTCTTCTGGGCAAAAGGGAAATACATCCTAAGGAATAAAATGCCCCTTTTCTACATTTATTTGTATATTCCTCTGGAATTTTGTTTCCTTATATTGCTAAGCAGTCTTTCTTTCCATGTTATCCATTGAAACTCCTCTGACAATTAGTCCCTGAGGTTATGTTGGACTTATCTGTCACTTGACATTTTACAGTATTGAAGAGGTTGCTTTCAGTTTCAATGGTGGAAAAGATTCAACTGTAAGTAGGCATTTGCTTATGTTATGTTTGAGTTAAACCTCATTATTTTCTTATTGATGGTTATCCCTGGACTACATTGTAGGTTTTGTTGCACCTACTTAGAGCCGGACATTATCTTAGTGAAGCGAACCAGAATTCTCCTAATGGGAATCTAAAAGGTTTTCCATTCAGAACAATATATTTTGAGAGCTCTTCTGCTTTCCCTGAGATCAACTCCTTCACGCATGGAATTGCTACTACGTGAGAGACTGAGACTTGCTTTTCGTTTAAAACCACAAAGATCTATCATTTGATGGCTTTACAAGTTTTGATAGCAATGTTTTATTTCACACTTTTGCTACCTTAACAGGTATAGTTTGGAGATGGAAGTCATTCACACAGATTTTAAGTCTGGTCTGGAAGCTTTAATAAAGTGCAAATCAATTAGAGCTATATTTCTTGGTGTGAGGATTGGTGATCCTACTGCGGTAAAGTCGTCGCTGTACCTAAAAGGACATGCCACAGTTTTTCTATTGCCTTTTGTAATTCATTTGTGGTCTCTGTTTGAACCTGTGATACCTATACCTTTAGCTTTTTCTTTTTTCTGAATCCTGCAGGTAGGCCAGGAACAGTTCTCACCAAGTTCACCTGGCTGGCCTCCTTTTATGAGAGTGAATCCTATATTGGATTGGTCATACAGGTCACTCCACTTATTCCGAAAAGCAGACTCTCTACAAGTTTCTTCTTGGGTGAATAGCAAGTAGCATTACATTTGCTTGTGCCAACAAAAGGAAACATGACATGATATTCCATTTATTCTGTATTGACTGCATTCTGTGGTTTCACTTCCTTACTAGTCCTCTTTCCGAAGTCCCGGTACTTTAGCTTTGTGAAGTTTTCCTTGACTATAAGGGTTTTGGGGATTGTCAAAGCATATTCTCTGCACTAGTGTGATGTTTCCCTATTTCGTAAAAACCAGAAATAAGCATATGTTGATTGGATAGTAACCAAAAAAGAGTGCATTGCAGATACCACTTACTACCGGTTATTGAGAGGATTATTCTTATATGGACATCTTTGCTTATTCTTGTGCACTGTAAGCTCACTAAGCAGGGAGCAGCATCAAAACATGTAAATGCATGGTCTAAATTTTTCCAGGTTCTGTCGGCCTAGTTTTAGAATTAGCCGATGGAGCAAACATAAATCCTTGTTGAACCGCACTTGGTACCATTATTTTGACTAGATTTTGTTACATTTTTTCCTTGCAGTGTCCATGTGGTGCTCAGTAGTGTGTGACTACATTCTTTTTTATTTCCATATTGTCATAAGAGGTGTTCTTGTGCTTCTTTTCAGGGATGTTTGGGCTTTCCTCTTGATATGCAAAGTTCCCTACTGCTGCCTTTATGATCAAGGGTAAAATTGCAACTGATCAAATTCAGTTGCTGGAGTTTGTTGAGTACTATATTTTTGGCTTAATTTTGTTTAATATGCAATGTTGTCTTTAAGTTAAGTGCCCTTTGGTTTTCTTGTGATGTTTATTCACATGTTGATATTGTTGTTTTGTTGAGTGCGCAGTTATACTTCAATTGGAAGCATACATGATACTGTACCAAATGCATTACTGCGAAGTGGAGATTCCATTACCGGTGAAGAGAAGTTTAGGCCTGCCTATATGCTTTCAGATGGTAGGCTTGAAAGAGCAGGGAGAGTGAAAAAGCACTCATCATCAGCTCATTGGGTTTCTCCTTCGAGTGATGGCATGTATAAATTAAATATTAATAGCGGCAGTGTGCTCACAACATCAATTATTGCTGTTGGGGATGAGATTCTGTAAGTCTCCTTTATGAAACTCTCCAATAGGTTGTTTTCTTGAGCATGATTCACTTTAGACATTGACCACCGTAGCATTTACAGCAATGAGCTCATACAAAGGCTTCTCAATTGTCTTTGACATCACACATTGCCATGCTGTTCATCCATTAAGCTTTAACTGTTCTCTATGAACTGTATCTTAGTCATTTGGAGAAAGAACCGAATTTTTGTCTGAATCTGCTTTGTTTCATTTCCTCTCTTTTTAATTTTGTCTCTTTGTTATCTTTATTCAATTTTGCAGTGTACTCAATTTTTGTGATTAGAAGAACTTCATTAATGAGCATCAGAAGGGTGCCAACCTATGTCAAAAAAGAATCTTTCAGGGGGGAAAAAAGAAAAATTGTGAACAATAAGGGGTTTTGATATTGTCGATTAGCTCATGCGTACCAACATATACCCTCCCTCATTCAAGCATGCACAGTCTGCAATAGAAGATCTTCATTAGTTGGAGAATTACTTTTTTATGCCCCCGAATGCTCTACTTTTCGTATCCTTCCGTATAAACGAAAAGTTAGAAAGAAGAAGCGTTTGCTTCTCTCTTCAAACTTTGGTTCTTTGTCAAGCCTGTGGAGTGTGTTTCCATATTCCTTTTAATATGCAAAGAAATGGAGTGGCCCTTCTATACCATGATTTGTGTTCTGGATTCAGACTTCAAAAGAAATCATCTTACTTCTTGTTTGTTGATATTTTCTTGGCGACTGTTGTTATTAAGTGCATGATTCCGTCTCTTATGTGTTCCATAGCTCAGATCCGGCATTGTTGAGGATGACTTGGGGCCTCTGTTGTGTAGAAAGCTCCATTCTATTGGTTGGCTGGTGTCGAAATCTGTGGCTGTACCGAACAATGTAAGGGCTAGCATTCCTCCTATTTTAGTTGTTGCATACCTAGTTCTTTGTGCTAAGTCCAGCTCTCGAGGTTTTACTTATATAATTCATTAGACGTGTATACCATCAAAAAGGTCTGCATACATTATTGCTCGAAATTTCACTTTTCTAATTTCATGTCTAATTTTTTGTCTACTGTGACACTCATCTTGATCCAGGTTGATTCTGTGGCTGAAGAAGTTGAACGGATGAAATCTGCTAACGATATTGTGAGGCCCAGTGATTTATGAAAATGCCCCTTATCATTTTCCTATTGACTGGAAAAAACTGAATAACATTTTCTATTCCAATTTCTGCTTGCTCATGGCTGGACTTGTATATCTGCTATCGTGTCAAGGTATTCATATGCGGTGGTGTTGGCCCTCTACATTCAGATGTTACTTTAGCTGGTATTGCAAAGTCATTTGGTGTTCGTCTGGTGAGTTGATTGTTTTTTTTGTCTATAGTGAGTTCTATTAAAAATATAGTGCTAAACAGAACAAAGATGAGTGGGATTCATGGAGGTGACCCACTTAATTGTGGTGGTTGTCGTCATCAATCAAATTGAGCAAACATAAAGGAGGAACAATTTAATGATATTGACGCTTTGCCCTATCAAATTTATGTCTGAGTGGATTTATCTTGTTAAATAATTTACTTTTCTTCCATAAGTAGTTTAGTTGTCTTCATAGATCATGTCTTACGGTGGACGAAATAAGAAGAGAGCATTCCTGATTGAGCTTTTTATGTTCATAATTAATTGTTGATTTATTGGTACATTGCTTTCCTGGCAATATTCTTCTCTTGTCTCTACTCAGGCTCCTGATGAAGAGTTTGAAGAATACCTTTGGCAATTGATTGGAAACCAATCTAAAGGTGATCGGAATGAGGTATTTTGCAATGAAAATAGTTAAAGGATTTGGCAATGTTTTTTTGTTCGGTTTTGCTCTACTTTGAGAATGTTATGGTCTGACTTACTCAACTTGAATGCTGGCTGGAGTTGTTACTCCGTATTCTGGAAGGTCATGTTTTTAGGAGCTATATTCCTGTCGTACAAAAATCTAGGAAAGCATTAGAACTTGCCAACATTAGTTTCTCCATTTTACGGAAATGGCTTGCTTGAGTTTGAGAACTATGCTATGTACTTAGTGCCATGTGTTGGCTGCCAATTACCATATTCCTGGCTGGTACTGGCCAGTTCATTTTAGATAAATACTTAGATTACACTCTATCTGCATCTTTATGCCAGTTTTCATCATCCGTTAGCGTTGCACGAGGGCCATACCGGTTTTCCCACTTATCTATGCCGATATGTTTTCGCCAAATGGCCACTCTCTCCTTTCGTTGGACTTCTATCCTGTCTTTTTCTTACAATCCGTTTGTGTTCATTAGAGTTGTACTCTGTCAGCAAACTCAGCAATTTCCAAATATTCTACTTTACTGCTATTATGCTTCTAGCCTTCTTGCACTAATTTGACGTGTTATGTTTGTTTTCCATTTTAGATGGCTCTGTTACCCGAAGGTATCACAGAATTGTTGCATCATGACAAGCTACCTGTACCTTTGGTATGTTTTCAGAAGCTCCCTTTGCGTGAATTATCTTGTATTGATGAGTTGGACGTGTTTCATATACACTCATCTTGTGTGAAATGCTTGAAACCCCAAACTCATTACTTTCTTTTTCAGTGATCTCTATATTGGAGCCTTATTCTGATATATTGCTGGCATGCTTAAGTTTGACTGTCCAAATTTTGGAGCTCGAAAGCTTTCAATGTTTTATTTGAAGCCATCCTAAAAATGAGATTCGGAAGTTCATCATGGGTTTCATTAGAGGCAGTGAAACTTCTATGTGAAATGTGGGCAGTGCGCCTAGAGCAATAGCAGTGAAATACCCGATTATCTTCATCTTGATGCTCTTATGCAATGGAATGAATTATTAGAGCTTTCCTCAGGTAGTAATTGTAGGAATGAAAAGGAAACAGATTCTTTACGGGATTATTAATCTTTGACTGGTCCTTATACATGTCCAGAGAGGTGCTTCAGGATAAATTTTACATGAATTTCTATGTAAAGAAGTTTCGTTAATTCCCTCTCATAGAATCCTTTCTCAACAGTATATATAAATGATAGAATGGATTATAAGCTGGACTTTCGGACTCGAAAGCATGTGCAATGTGCCTATTTAGCATATTTCTGCCCATTGGTGTCGTTTCAAGAGTGGAATATATTGTCTCTATCTGTTATAGTTGAAAAGCACCTACTATTAATTTTTGCAGATTAAGTGTCAGAATGTAATCATCGTTACTGCCACAAATATCACTGAGCTGGACCAGGAATGGGACTGTTTGATTGATTTGATGAGATCAACTGGCCAGTTAGTAGTGGCGGAACCATTTGTCTCAAAGTGCTTAACTGCAAATCTTTCTGATGTACGTATTTCTCTTGCAAATCGTACTGATGTGATGTGATGTGATACTTTCTGCATTCCGAGGACAGGATCTCAAGGAAAGTTAGAATACTTCTACCTCATTTAAGTAGAATATTCATTCATATAAGGTTTTACAGAACACGTGGGTTTGTTCTTCCAATTTCTTTAGCTTGCTAACTTATTATTCCTGTAAACATTACCTGATGTCACTTGAACTATTAGGGTACTTTAGAAGCTTCATGACCCAGTAATATTCAGAACATGGTTTCGTGTGCCATCATTTTATGGTTAGGATGATTATGAAGTAAGGTTACTAATGAGGTTCCTGCATAAAAATCAATTTGTAGTCACTCTAAGCACAACTAAGCCGATATCTTCCTAATAACCCAAGTTCTTAATGTTTGCCAACGATTGAGAAGCATGACTCATGCTGATTGGCATTTCTAGGCTTATAATCTTTGTGGTCCTGTGGCATCTTCTGATTAGATCATGATTGGAATATACGGGCATTTAATTTATCATTTTCTAAAACCTACAGGTCGAAGCAGCCGAACCTCTGTCTAAACTTTGTCTTGAATTTCCAGACGTTTGCATTGGTAAGCTTAGAAATTATATGGGTTCTGGACTGCTATGATTTTCTAATTGATTCTTTACCTTTTTCTTTTTCCAAGGGTGTTATCGTAAATCACGACTTGGGCCTCTTGTTATCAGTTTCGAAAGCAAGGTACAAATGGTCTCTGGATATTTAGCAAACTATTGCATTTAATGTACTCTTCGACTTTTGATATCAAAGAATTTGGTTGCAGGATAAGGCAAGGATTGATGTAGCTATAGGTGCGTTGCGCAAGAAGTTCCATCCAGAATCATTTTCTGAAATCAATTGAGATAGTTGGGATACTCGCGATTTGACTGGCAAGCTGGATCAACCACTAAGCTTGCTTCTCGATTGCAACCTCAACCCACGAAAGTGCACAGGCATTGCGCCCTCATCTGAGTGGTACAAGGGGAGACGGTGGAATCATACATTGGGAGGAGACTGCAAATACATCAATGAAAGGCTAAATTGAACTTTATGCAGCATTGTTAGGCAGTGCCTTAATAATTATTACAAATCTTGACGCGCTTGTCCTTGCAAACAAGCCAATGAAAAGTAGAAAGAGGATTGGAAGGTGAAATAAAATTTTAGCAGGCTGATTCACTGCTCGTCTTTTCAAATTAATCAGCTTTTTTCTCTGAAGTGTGCTGATCTTATATGTTTCACCTTCCTAGATTGGTTGCTGAGAAACCTCTGTTCCGGCTTTGAAAATCCTAATTATGTATATCATTTGTTTGTCTTAAGGAGGTCTATCACATCCGCACGTTTGTGGTTGTACCTTGCTTTGCTTGTGAGAGTTTCAAGGGAAGCTGACGGACTTATAGTTCCTTGAAACAATTGCTTTATGGAACATTGCCTAATCTGCCGGCACTTCCTAAATTCTAAGGACTTTTCATTGTTGTAGTTATTGTTTATGCTCGGGTTGGGTATAGTTGTGGTTATTGCATCAAATATAGTAGGGTTTTGTTCACTAGATTTCGCGTCGGGTCAACATTTTTTATTTTGAGGTAGGCTCTATCTGAAAATCGGTTCTCTGTTACTCGCTGCCGAGGTACGGCACTTTGTTCAATTTGAAGTTTTCCTTTACTTGCCTCCTCTATGACATTTTAGTACTCTAGCTCAATTAGGATGTTCAAGTTTCAAACTCGTCTAGAGCTAAGCTCTACTTTTCAAGCTCCAGTGCCACTCAATTAAAATTTAAACGAGCTCGAGTTCACTTCGACTTGATTAGTCAACGAGTTTTAGTCGAAGCTTGAATTAAACTCGAGTTCAAGCTCGAATTTTGATAATACACTAAAATTGAGAGTTTTATACAGTCCGAGTAATTAGTTATATTTATAGATGTACATATACAACAAAAATATTAAGAATTACAGTTACTTGTTACTTGGTTAGGCTTTCCAGCTGCTCGAGTCAAAGTATATTCAAGTTTGAGCGCGACTTTTCTATAGAAGGAGCAATTTGCTATTGTATTATGAAAGAGGTGTGCAAATTGTAGTGAAAAATGTTTATATTTGTAGAAACACTGTTATTAGTAGATGAAACATTTTCAAGCATTACGTTTTCTCAAAATGATTGATGATGTATTCCAGCTTGATTGGACTAGGAGAGCTGAAAGGGAGGGAGGAGGCAAAAGTGAATAAATTAGCATAGTAGAAACACATTTAATGTCACCTTTAACCTTTCTAACTTGAAGGATGATTATTTGGCCAAACCTTAAAAGATGGGGATAATTGTCCCAAAAATCCTAAACTATTGTACGCCGGCCAATTTAATCATAAACCTTTCAATTGTACCAATTTAGTTATAAACCTTTTGACAATTTCCCAATTTAATTGTAAATCTTTTCATGATTCGCCAATTTAGTCATTCTGATCAATTTTGGACAGAAATTGTTGATGTGACAGTCTAGTCAACATCTGCCATCCTATGTAGCACAGCCGGCATTGACATGAATAATTTTTGCAATTTTTTTTAATTTTTTGTTTCTTTTATTCTTTTCTTTTCTTTTCTTTTTTTCTAATGGTCACCGACTCTCATTGGCCACAGACGAGGGCCACCACTCTCGCCTGTTGGCCAAGGCCAATGCCTCACCTGTGGCCCACGACGCCCTCACCTTGACTAGGCTGTGTCGGCCAACGACCTCATTGGCCCATAGTTGGAAGAAAATGAAAGAAAAGAAAAAAAATCAATTTAGAAAAATTAAAAATTACAAAAATTGTCCACGTTGGCACCAGCCATGCCATATGGGATGGCCACCATATCAACGAACTTTGACCAAAATTGGTAAATTATAAAAAAAACTCCTGTGCTAAATTGGTATGGTTAAAAAGTTTAAGACTTAAATGATCGTCGTATAATAAATTTAGGACTTTTTGGAGAATTTTTCCCTTAAGATAGATAACCAAGTTGGTCCGCAAAAGTCAGTTTCATAAGAAAAGTCAGAAAATCATTAGCGAGCGTATAGTTTTCTTGGACTGGGATGAAGCTACGAGGAAATTTCAGTGGAGGTCCGAATTGATTGATGTTAAAAAATCAGCAGAAATTAGATATATATACATATATATATATATATATTAAGTGATTGCATTAAATATAGATAGATAGATAAATATATTTAATATGAAGGAAAAAAATGAACTGACGCAAAAAAAAAGGAATAAACAAAAGCCTAATTAATAGTCGTTTCTACGATGACGGTCTTCCCAAGTAGGATGCAATTCTTGTTTCATCTTGATTAATTGTGCTTTTGTTTCGCGAAAAACTTCGTAATAATGAAAAATGTTCTTTTCGGAAATCATTTTCTTTGTCTTCCCATTGTTTGGAAACAATTTTTGAAGAGGCGCACGTTGCACGAGAGTCGATACATATTTTCAGTGAAGTTAGAGAGAGAGCTCAGCTCCTCTGGAGTAGCACCAGTCCTCTGCCCCCATGGTAGCTCCTCATTTGGGAAACGTTTTCCTCTTATTTAGTTTGGGAACTCCCACTTTCTATACCTGTAGTGATTTCCCTAAATGGAAAATGTTTTCCAATCCATCATTCATTTTCCATATACCAAACACGAAAAATGAACGAGAACATTTTTCAGAAAAATACTTTCGCCAAAACATACCGTAAGTACCAGATAGAAGAAAGTCTTAATTCAATAAGAAGTTCATATATGCTTTTCTTTTTGCGTGTAGCCGAATAATTCGAATATGTGATGTTCACAACTACCCTCTACACCTGACTGTTCCCGAAGCTCCATATGCATGTGGATTAGATTAAAGCGTGTGCAAGCTTTTGAGTTGACAATAAAGGAGCAATAATCTAAAACCAACTAACTTCTTGCATCGTGCGGGTTGAGGGCAGAGGCATAGTTAAAGAAGGAAAAGAAATCACTTCAAAATCGCTTTGAAATCTCGAGATCTTCAGCGATAATATTACCAGTAGTTTATGAATCTCTCTGGTCCATATTCAAAACCATTCATGTACTTTTCTTGGTGTGCTTATGTTTTTGGTGAGGAACAGGAAGTTCTGCTACCACAGGACACGTGTGGAGCAATCAGAAAGTTCATTTCCTTGTATGAGAAAGTGATGTAATGTGACTGAGAATTGAATTTTGTACACAGATATGCAACACGGTTATGTACAATTGCACAAATTGGGTTAAACCACTGTGGGGGGACTTCCCTTATCGTTTAACAGAAATCCCACTGCCAATAGACCTTCTCGACGATCCCTCCACCGCTCCGAACTGCAAGGTGAAGCCTTTCAGAAGCAGGAGGAACTCCCCAAAGCAACGGGACTGCGACTGTCATCTTCAATTTCTCATGCAAACCTCCTTTGATTGCCTTCTCTGCCGCGACAACCTGAAACATACAGATTGATGATTTAAAATTGCAATAGGTAAAAGCCACTTTTTGATTTATCATATGTCCGGCAGATGAGCATCATTTGCAGAATGATTTCTGAGTTTCTAAACATTTTAAAAGAGGGCTAAAGAAGTTATAGAAATATATCTTTCCATTTCCACACATTGTGCATAGCGTGTGCTGCTGACAGAAAGGAAATGTGCAAGGCTGTAGGTGCAAGGATGACATGCGGGAAATTCAGGGAAAATGTGGAAACTCTTCAATCTCTAAATGGTGTGTAATGCATCTATACTAACAGATTTCACTTCTACAATTGGATGGGCATTGACTTGAAGACTGTTTTTCCATGAACACTTCTAGGGTACAACATTGTAACGTACTTCATCAATTGTCCGTCATTGGATGACACTGGTTGACAAAAAACTCAACTATCGAGGAACACAATGTACGGTAACATTGTTATACCTTAGTCATATCTGGAGATACAGGACTTAGGTCTTAGTCCAAGGTATTTAAAATCATGTGATCTTGTTGTACAAAGCAATTTCAAATAAACATGATGGAGAATCGAGCTGTTAAATCCACCATAATGGACCATAAAACAAGGGTCACATCCACAATTAAACAAAGAAAACCAACTAGTCCGCCAGAAAGTGGTTAATTACATTATTTTCCAGATTCTAGGGTATGCCATCAGCTGAGTTTACAACAATCAACCTTCCAGTGCAAAACCTCTGCCTAATAAAAGATTCACGAGCAAATGATTTTTTATGCCTGAAGTTTTCAAAACATTTGCATTTTCGTATATCCATTTCTTTTTGTTGGTTTTGTCTACTCAATTGCGCCATGCCAATGAGCTCAAACTCAATTCTTTATCTTAAACAACCAATCGCACATTAGCTAAAATTATGAGTATACCTCTCCACCATGTTCAAGAACAGCATCTTCAACAACATCACTTAACATTTCAATGGAACGACAGAACCCCAAGATGCAAAGCCTTCTGCCCATATCAAGACCCTGTTACAAATGGATCCTAAATACATTAGATGATGAACAGAACAAATGATAGATAGGTTATAGAGAAGTCCTCACATTGGTAGCCGCAATATCAAATAAAGCACCCAGACACAGGCCTTGCTCTGGATTCATGTAATCACATTCTTGAAAGCGTTGGAATCTCTGAGAAGTGTTTGATCTCCCTTGCCTCTTCTGTCAAATGAAATTGGCTAATAAGAAGGGAGATTCTAATATTCAAAGTAATAGCTAAACACATTGCTTATGAGACAAATATCAAAACATTGGATGCATGATATTGGCTAAATGATACTGGTGAACTTAATTTCTTAAACTACATCAACAATTTATCATTTCCTTTCTCCTTTCTTTTTCCTGTACATTTTATTGAATTTCATTCCAATTCTTTTTCTTAAATGGAGTTGCAAGAGGTGGAAATAACAAGTTAGTGACGAGGAGATTCCAACTGACAGGTTATCATAGAAACTTAATAGGTATCACCATCCATTTAGAAAAAACAAAGACCACGCCCAAGTCTACCATGAAATCACAATTGCCATGGGAACACTACCACAATGAAATAACTCTGCCACACATTATATATCCACCTTGAGGCTATCCCTAGAAGGATGCATATTACAAGGCAAGTTTCAATAGTTTCAGCAGCAAAATTGGATTGAGAAGGTATAAAGGCCATCATTATCATTCTCACAACCCATATAACTTTTGCACAATAACTATTCATTGCCCCCACCCCCCCCCCCCCCCCCCCGGTCAACGTAAAAAACCTTATTTGGGGCATGCAGGCCTGATAAAAAAGTAGACATTCAGGATAGTGATCATGACAACATACTTGTCATGCAAAAAAATGGCACAACGAACATGTTTCACCCATCAAAATGGCTAATTGGGGCAAATGCAAGGACATACTGCTAGAAGAATGTTGTGCTGGACGATATTCTAAAAGAGTCTAGAATATAATGAAAGATGCTGCAATAAATCAAATTACTCTTTTGAAAACCATACATCAGAATTAACACGTCGAGGAACCATTGAACCTCCAATCTGAATGAGTCCATCAGAAGTGAACAATGTAACTCTCTCCTCAGGAACCCATTGGATATCTGGATGGCATGAGATACATCAGCTCATCTTTCTTAAATGTTCATATGAAAGTCCAAGACGTCTTCTAAAGAAGCGAGAATAATTGTGAAATGAAAGCATTCCATAGATTAAGAAGATCAAAATTAAAAAGGTCTTGTCCTCAAGCCAAAGAAAAAAAAAAGGTCTTGTCCAAAACACTTATAATGCTTCAAACATTAATCCAGTTGATCTCAAACATCGAAGCAACTGATTGCAAGCAGACACAAAATTATCCATTTCCATAATGTCGATGAATAAGCAAGACGCCTCCAGGTGTTTCATTGTGCAGTTCTGAAAACCACACAGACAACACTTCAGCTTTTGCTGAGGGTTAATGGAAAAACAGTAAGATCATAAAGAATCTGGAAAAATCTGCAAAGTTAAATACAGAAAGCAACCTGTAAAACCTAGCTATTTCAGGCAAAAAATCCTTTGTTTATCTTAGCAGGAAGTTGAAAATGTGGAGTGAAGTCATCACATTGTTGAGACAAATGATCGCATTTTCCATTTTCAATTATGAACGGGGTGCTAATTACTACAATCGGAAATAATCCATTTTCGTTATTGTAGTTTTACTCTCAATCTCATTTTGCGCCCTGGAAAAAAATTTGTTCCACTATACATCTTGATCTATCAACCTTAATTTGTGCTATCTGCTCCAAAGAAACTTGCTTCTTAGATAAATTTGTGAGCATAATGCACCTTCACATATCATAGAACATGACAGTCGAAAACAGACAGCTGAATGTAGAGTAACAGGCCTGGAAAGAATCTTCAACAGTGGAAAAATGCAGTAACAAAGAGATCAAAGGTTGACTGCCAACTCCATTCAAATGGGAAGCCTTGTAAATAATAGGGGCAGGGAGATGAAGTTCAGGTTTAAATTGGCACGACATCGAGAAGTTCAGGGTGTGAAATGTGAGATCAAGTCCAGGAAAATGACTTCCGGGAAAATATTTTCCAAAAGGAGAATATTTTCCGCCAAACGAACGGAGCCTTAGAGTAGAAGGACCAAATAGAACTAGAACAAGAAGAAATGCCTTGCACATCAAATAGGGGCAGCATTCCTGGTGCAAATGCCTATTTCTCTTTCATTATCCCATGAGCTTTCGTGAATGGCTTTGTTAGCATGAAGTTCAACAAAATGTCCTTGGTCTTAGACAAGTACTTATATATATTAAACCCGTCTTAAGAAAAGTTTTTGTCATCCAATTGCAACATACGGTACTTCGATCTTGCATCCAAGGCATTGTCCTTCGGTGTCATTAATATGGCCCTGGGCTCTGCTACCTCACTAGCTTTTGCGGTGTAGCTAAGTCGATGATGGCTTGATCAATCGTAACCCGAAGACACATGTCAGACATATTACCAGCACCATACTCAGAAAACACAGCTATCTTATATTGCTTATTCATTAAAAAAAAAAAGGGGGGCAAAAAGACTGCTTGTGCATATGCTATCACAGGTTCCAAGAATTCAATTCTTTTTCTACCCAAAGATATAACTTAACTCTTGAAGACATGGGCACAATGGCGTCAAACCAGATGTGATCAAATGCCAAAGGACACGAGAACTAATCTAACCCAACGCGCTTCTCTCACTCCCAGTCTCAAGAAAAGTGGAATGCAAACGTCCGATCAATCTACTTCGAAAAAACACAAAGCACCCGTTCAACAGAAACTGAAGCTCTACACCAATCGACGAACTTCCAACATCCCAACGGACCACCCACCAAATTAGCCTCAAAACAATCGAGCAATCGGACGACAATTCAAGGAGATTCTCGAAAGCCTACCGGCATCGCCGCCGTCGGCCCAGGGGAAGTAACCGAAGGAGTCGTCGCCGAGGAAGTTCCCGGGATCGGAAGGAGACGGAGAAGCCCTCGCCGGCAAGCGGAGGACGCGGGAGGGCGGGAGCGGGTTGCGGCGGAGGAACGGGAGCTTCCGGACGGAAGGAGGGACATCGTCGGCGGCGCGGGAGATGGAGGGGAACGGAGAGAAAGTCGTGAAGCACAACGCCGCCGAGGTCTCCGCCATCGCAGTTCACAGAGAGAGAGAGAGAGAGAGAGAGAGAGAGAGATTCTGAATCTGCGGTGAGAAGAACTATGGCGGATCGGAGAGACAGAGAGGAGAGAGAGAGAGAGAGACGGCCACAAGCGGAGAAATAAAAGAGCGTGCTTTTTCGTAATCACCGCAATTTCGTTTATTAACGGTTGTTCCGTTAATTTGGTAAGAGCGTGTTGCATGTGTCGAAAACACACTATCCAAGCCCCTCGAGTTCGACGCATCCCATGGTCTGAACACCAACATCTCATGAGACCGCATCCATCGATATAAATTACGGACAGCTAACTTTTTTTACCTAAAACTCATCAGATTTAACCAACTTTGACGTGGGGTCAAAACTTGTCGAAAACCCGATCAGAAGGCGAGATTGGACGATGCTCGCCGAGAGCAATTGACAACACTTAGATTCCGCCAAATTCGATGACCGACTTACTGATAAGACACCGTGTCAATTGGGAACGTTCAATATGATGTTTAGCAAATTCAGTGACTTGTTCCGATCAGAAGTCATTCCCGTGAAAGTTCAAGAGAGGAACGCTTCAACTCCTCGGGTATCGTCTTGACGGGTTCAAAATAAAGGAGTATTCGCGAGTCAAAATTGGTGAGTCGCCGAAAGCTATGAGCTGGGTTGGCCTAAGGTAAGTTTTTTTTCCAAATAAAAGATCACAAAAGGACAAAATAGGGATGTGACGAATCAAAGAAGACCACGGACTCCGGACTAGGAAATATAGGTTTCAGAGTGAGTGGATTCTCATCTAAAATCTGGAACCTATACAATTAGGGTCGACCCTCAATTTTTAAAATCGTGAACCGACCCTGAAATTGATCAGGTGTTTTTTCTTTTCTTTTTTTTTTTGAGCGACATCACTTGGATTGAGAATCAGCAATAATCAAGTCTCCACGCTCAAAGTCGACAACCTATCCGATGGACAATCACTAAGCGCAACTCAAGGAACAATGGGGACTCGCAAAAATTTAGAGCACCATCTTTGAGTTCAGTGTGTGTGCCCCCTCCGTTTTCAATCTCTAGTCCTCTCCTTAAACTCCACCGTCAGAATTCTCTTATTGCTTTGAACTCTCCACCTTCAACGGACTCCAAATTTTCCAGAGCTTGTCTTTTTGCCTTCTTTTAATCTCACCTCCCCAAGATCTCCTTTATAATAAAAAAAATAATTCTTCTATCCATAGCCGAATGTCCTGCAGGGAACTCCAACCCCCGCACTTTCTCCTTTCAGCCTCAAGTTCACCACTTGGATCCCACCGATAGTTCAAGTCCGGTTCCGCACAAGGAATCGGGAACCGGACCGGTTCTCGTGAGAACCATCCAGAATCGGCGATTCAGTCCGATTCCCGGGTTGAACCGGGACCGGTGCTCACTCTATCCAGACAAACTTTGAAACTTAATAAGATTTTCAAGAAAGGTAATGAACTAACAAAAAATCTAAGGATGAGTTAGTCATATCATGTACCAATACTCGGGACTTTATTTTGAGTTTCTCGAGCACCGCTTGAAGTTAGGTCGCTTCACTTGTCAAGATATGGTTTGCGCCTCATTTAATTAAATCCCAACCTCGAGATTGCAATTCGAGCTCATTATAAGAAAATGGACTTTGCAAGGTTTTTCGACGCTGCATGAATCACACGAATTCGATGTCGAATGAAAAAAAAAAAAGGTACTCGTGTTGGAGGAAAACACAGAAAAAAGTTAAATCAATAACGGATCACCACATCATCAAGCTCGTTCATCTTGCCGGCCCAGCCAAGGATGAGATGGATTAGGTTTGTCCGACTTGAGGTGAGCCAAATCAAGTTTACCTGGCCGAATGGGTTCTCTCCGGCTGAGGGTTAGCCGGCCGACGTCGAGGTTGGTCGACCAGATCTTTTTCCATATGAATAGTGTCACGCCTCAACCCTCGAGCATGCGACAACCCCTATTTTACTTAGGTCAATTGAATGCGACGTCCCAGGACGCGTCACCGATCCATTCTTTTTATCTTTCAATTAAACACATGTGGAAGCAACAGCAATCACCCAGTCCTAACAACAACAGCAAGGATAGTAATAACAATCAACAACAGTCATGCCAAAGCGCCATTTTATTTATTCACTTGATTAACCCCAAGGAAACACATTTACAAGCCCTTCAAGGTCAACTTTCCTTACAAGCCTACCAAAAAGATACTAGGCTGGGGGTCAATTTACTCCATCCAAAAGTAGGTCATCCAAAAAAAACAGGTCCTAGGCATGTCCCTCAAGTACTGTCAAAATAGCGGGACTGCTAGTCAAAATAGAGTGAATCGGGATCATGCTCCGACGGGTACACAAGATCAAGGTTGGTCTCGGGACACTCCACTGACCCGTCAGGTGGGTCAATGTCCATAGGGTCTCAAACCTCCTGCCCAGATCCCCCATATGGAGGACCATCGAAGCCCCTCAAAGGGCCGAACAGGTCCTCACCCTCACAGATGAACCATGACTGGAACTGATGAGGGACCCACATAGCTAGGCCCTTATCCACCCACACAGTAGACAAGTGGCACTCAAAAAAATGTGGCTTACCGGGAAAACGATGGGTAGTAATAATACTATCCATATCCTGCAACATCGCAAACCGCCTCGGGTGGTTCGCCAGTCTATGGCCTTGGAAAACAGTTTACAACAACGAATAAGATATAAATCTCAGTAAGCTAACGACCTAAGCCTCGTTTAAGAAGTCAACTCAGCTCGGGTGCACCTAAAATATGTAATGATATATAAATGGCAAATCAATAGCAAAGCGACCCTCACTTTGCATTAGCTATATACAGGAGTAGGTAATTCAATCCAGCATAAACAAACAAGCCATCAAATAACCGTAGGCATCTTTACCTTGCCTTGGCACACAACCTGCACGACATAAGCCATCACGTGCCACAATAATGCAATAAGCATTTAACATAATCAGAACACCTAGCAAGCTTCTTCATGCACAATGCACCAATGCATGTTCTAATTATTACGACCACTCAAGGCCACGACACAACCCAAGGGTTGGCGGTCTTCCAGCATGACCGGGTATCGTCTCACCCCATCAGGCACGGCAATGTCTAGGACCCCCACCATAAACGGCATTATATAAAGGAGCATCGGTCCGGCTTCGACCACGACTCGGTATCCGGACCCCCACCGGGCATCCGACAAAAAGAAAAATCTAGCATCGTCCCCAAACTCCCGTTAGGTGACATGTTCATTTATGTGACCACACGAGCACAACTACCACTCAAGCCCCTTTTATTTCTCAACAATTAGCCAATGCAGACGTGGTGGTGCTCACATATCAAAATACTATAACTTTCATGCCTAAAAATGCAATAATAAATTCACACGTGATCACATACACACAATTAAACCATCAAACTCTGCATGATTCCATTTTTAAACATCCTTGCCCTATTTAACTTATAAAACTTGACATATGAAGCCGACACCTCGGGGTTTACTTTTTATGTGTCCACAAAAACCCTTTTAAAAAATAACTAACAAGGTTTCACATAGGGCAATTATTTTTCATGGCAAAGCAGGCTTTAAACAACATGAAACGGCATAATTCAACACTTAACTCAAGTAGAAAACACCCATATAAAATTTACTTATCGCCCTAATTGCGATAACTTATCAACCAATTATTGATAGCTTATCGCCCATTGGTGATAGCTTATCATTAAAATGTCGATAGCTTATCGTCCCTTTGACGATAGTTTATCATTAAAATATCGATAGCTTATCATCCCTTTGACGATAGCTATCGTCTTTGATGTAGCTAGCAAGGATCACCTAGAGGGGGGTGAATAGGTGATCTAAAACAATTTTAGAAAATTTATGCGGAAACAAAGTAAATCACAGAAGAGTCTGAATAAAATTCAGATTCAAGACAGATTATATAGACGGTGCTCTTGATGTGGAGTATGTAAAGTAAGAGTTAAGGGATAGAAAAACTGCACACAAGTTTATAGTGGTTCGGCTTATAGCAAGCCTACGTCCACTCTCCCACGCTTACTGACCCTCTGGGCCGGATTTCACTATGTAATCAAGAGGAATTACAACTTCTGAGAGTCAATACTCTTGTGTATGATAGGACTCTCTATCTCACACAATCACTCTTACAAAGTATCCCTCAAGATCTTAATGTTTTGCTCAGAATGACAAGAGAAATGATTGGAGTATGCTCAGACTTTGGACTTGTTGATTCTTGATTCTGTATTTCTTCTGCTGCTCGTTGACCTCCTTAAATACTACTCTAATTCCAAAACTAGACGTTTGGACAGTATTCAGAGGATCATCTTCCAATCTTCACTTTGGACAGATTTGTATACAAAGGATTGAGTAGCCGTTGAATAACGTGATTCCGAATCCCGCCGATTCCGGTCGCCCATACAATCGAATCTTGGTTTCCATAAGTAGAGCTTTGTCCGTTGTAATGCATTCCTGTCGTGATGTTTGATTGTCAATCAATTTGATTTAGATTGAGACAATCAGAACATTCCTTCTGTGAAATCCATGCTAGATCACTAGCTGTTGTGTTACGTTCGAATTCTCGTCGAAGAAATTCTCGTCAGATCTCAAGAACTTCGTCAAGGCCTCAAGAATTTCTGCGTCGAATAATTTCTTTGTCTCGCATCCGCATCCGAATAACTTCGCTTCGCATTTGCATCCGAATAACTTCGAGTTTGAATTTCGTAACTTCGATTATGTGGGTCTTCATAACCATACTTGACATGATTGTAAAGTCCGAATAACTTTCTTCTTATCTTCCAAATATACATCCCGGAATAAAATTGTTCGTAATAAGTATCGATTTACAATAACATAGAAGGTTTTGTCATCTTCAAAATCAATAGGAGTTTTCCTCAACAATCTCCCCCTTTTTGATGGTGACAAAACTTTCTTGCAGTTTGAATTATTTTGAAAATGAATAAACATATTAAGCTCATGAAACACAGATTGAAAGAGCAAACTCTGTTGATATCTGTGTCTTTCTTTCCTTTTAAATATAACCTGCAAATCTGCACACATAATTTCTCCCCCTTTTTGTCATCAACAAAA